GGAGGCCTCAATTTATGTACTAACATGTAACACTTGTGGCATTCAGTATGTGAGAGAAACAATGAATAAATTTAATATTCGGCTTAATAACCATCGTTCATGGTATAAAACCAACAAAAACTGTCCTCTCACAAGACATCTTCGCTCAAAGAAACATTTTAAACAAAATTTTTATGTGAATTTCTCTATCATTATGAGTAATAGGATAACTATATTTGATATATGGTTTCCTTGCAAGGTCTATATGTCTGTCAGACAGGGTTCACCTAATCATGACCTCATTTCATGGCTCCAAATTCAAAGGTAAAGTTACATGATTAGATCCGTTTCTCAGATACTGTAAGCAGTACGTCAACTTTAGTTGGTGTATGGAATGATTGTGAGGCGTATATGTCAGTCTAGCAGGTTTTATCTGACCTTGACCTCATAGTTGCGGTTCATCGGTCAGTGTTTAGTTTCCTGGTTAAGTCTGTTCCTCAGATACTATAAGCAATAAGGTCAACTATATAATTTTTGTCTCGCCTTGACGGAGTCAAAAAGCGAGACAAAGGTATGCTGTTTCCGGCGTCGGTGGCGGCGGCGGCGTCAACAATGTATTAGTTTGTGATTAGGTCTAGTTTAAGGTGAACCACTGGTGGTTGGTCAATAATATTTGGTATGCAGGTGTATTAGCACTGGCACATCTCATTTCCATGGAGATTATTTGGCCCTGTCTCCTCAGTCATGGTCTATTGACTGAAGCTTTTGCTTAGTTTACATGTATTAGTTTGTGATTAGGTCAGTTTATGGGAAATCACTAGTGGTAAGTCAATGATATTTGGTATGCAGTTGTATAAGGATTGGCATATCTGATTTCCATGAAGATTATTTGTCTACGCCCCCTCAGTCATGGTCTACTGACTTTAAAATTTTTGCTTAGTTTACATGTATTAGTTTGTGATTAGGTCAGTTCAAGGGGAACCACTAGTGGTAAGTCAGTGATATGTGGTATGCAGTTGTATAAGCATTGGCATATCTCATTTCCATGGAGAATATTTGGTCCCGCCCCCGCAGTCATGGTCTATTGACTTTGAGGTTTTTTGCTGAGTTTGCATGTATTGGTTTGTGATTAGGTCAGTTCAAGGGGAACCATTAGTGGTAGGCTAATGTTGGCACTCATACCACATCTTCTTATATCTATATATATGATAGAAAAAACAAAGCTATATTTGAGAATGGAAATGGGGAATATGTCAAGGGACAACAACCCGACCAAAGAGCAGACAACAGCCGAAGGCCACCAATGGGTCTTCAATGCAGCGAGAAAATCCCGCACCCGGAGGTGGTCCTCAGCTGGCCCCTAACTAAAATTGTGTGCTAGTTCAGTGAAAATGGACGTCACACTAAACTCCAAAACATATAAATGAACTTAAATTAAAAAACATACTAGACTAACAAAGGCCAGAGGCTCCTGACTTGGGACAGGCGCAAAAATGCGTCGGGGTTAAACATGTTTTGTGAGATCTCAACCCTCCCCCTATACCTCTAGCCAATGTAGAATAAAGAAACACACGCACAGTAAAACTCAGTTTAAAAGAAGTATATATATGGAGTATCCATCTATGACACAAAATCAGTACATGCACAGCAAAAAGCAAAGGAACAGCGCTTTTATTGCTGTTCTCCATCTCAAAGTCACAGTGAGGCTTCAACATGGAGGTTTAAGACGGCCCTTAGGACCGGTTTAAGTGGAATTCTTTGCAAAATGATTCTGATAGACTAAGATGTAACACCACCGGTCAATACAAAACATACTGGAAAGTAGTACATATTAAAAACAAAATAGTTCCTACGCATAGGTGTTTATGATGTATGGAATGATTGTAAGGTGTGCATATCTGTGGAAGGGTTTATCTGACCTTGACCTCATTTTCATTGGTCAGTATCTAGTATTCATGGTTTGGTCTGTTTCTTGTATACTGTAAGCAATAGGTCAATTATATTTGGTGTATATAATGATTGTAAGTTGTACATGCCTTTCTGGCTTGGTTTATCTGACCATGACCCAAGATTATCAACATAAAATAAGTTATGAATAGTAAAACAGGCCAGACATTTGAGTGTGTGTAGTCTTGTTTTCCTTAGAAGAATAATAATGTTTAAAAAACCAACTTAATCTGATTAAACATGATCTTTCTTGATCTAGTTAAAAAGAAGTATTAGAATAAGGAGATTTGATATTGTTATGAGACAACTATCCATAATTCCAAAGGACAAAGGTGTGAATAGTTACACATCATTGTAATGCCTTCAATAATAAGCAAAACCTCTACCATATAGTAAGCTATAAAAGGTATGACTGTGACACAATTCAAAAGAGAAAACATAACAGCCTTATTTGTGTTACAACAATAATGATAAAAATATGACGAACAGCAACCAACAATACCACATACAGAATGTTACTGGTTTGAACATGTGTGTGAGTGCTTAATCCTCCCCTTAACCTTAACAAGTGATGTAACAACACCAGAACAAAGAGTATAGATCGATTTGAAAAGTTTTTACTTGTTGGATTGATACTAAGCACAAAAAGACGGAGTACCATTATTTCAAAACTGTCTGAAGACTTCTTATAGGAGTCCTCGTCCGTCGTCATTAACTTACAAACACCTTCTCCTCTGAAACTACTGGATCATATTTAGCCAAACTTGGCCACAATCATCATTGGAGTATCTTGCTTAAAAAATGTTTCCGATTAGCCTGCCTGCCAACCAAAATGCCTGGCATGGCAAAAAATAGAACATGGGGGTAAAATGCAAGTTTTGTCCATTATTTTGAAAAACTTTATAAATAGAGAAAATCTGACACGAGCTGATATGTTCAGAATGTTGAGCTCTACCAATTGTTCATATACGTCAAAACTGTCAGACAACTTCTTATAGGAGTTATTGCCCTCAAATGACATATTTAACCATTTTTTTTTTCATTTTTGCCTATTATCTTGAAAACTATAATAGATGTAGAGAAACTTTAAATTGCAAAAATGATCAGCAAGACATGTTCTACAAATAAGTTTGCTTGGTCGAAGTCGTCAGTCGACTCCTTATTAGAGTTAATGCCCTTTGATGACGATTTTTACCAATTTTAAAATTTTCTCCTCACTTGGCGTCCCTCATCCTCGTCTGTCGTCGTTCACTTTCACACAAATTTTCTCTGAAACTACTAGTTACTCAGGTGCAGATCCAGAATTTTGAAAGTCTTTGTTATATGCCTTGAACGATTCATAGTATACTTAATTCTATTACATCCTCTCTTACTTTAAGTATATTTCTGGGAGTTCAATTTGACCCCTTTTAAACCATTTGTAAACTGTTTTTATAATGGTAAAATTCCCAAATTGTACATACATTGGCGGTTCCAGGGGTTGTTCCGGGGGTTGAACCCCCTTCCACCTTTTTCTTTTTCTCTTTTTTTTATTATGTGAAAGTTTCATGGTGTTCCGGAGGTTGGACCCCCCCCCTTTTAAAATTGCCTGGACCGTGCCTGACATATGTGTCTGAGCTCTCTATGAGATTAAAGATACAGAGCCTCGGAGAGAACTTTACTTATCAAAATCAAACTTTCAATTTCGTAACTTATTACGATAATTAGAATATGTGATCATATTATAATCTTGATCTTGGATTGGGTAGATATATAAAATATAGGAAAATTGTATTCTAATTATAAAAATAAGATGTGGTATGATTGCCAATGAGGCAACTCTCCACAAGAGACCAAATGACACAGAAATTAACAATTATAGGTCACCGTACGGCCTTCAATAATGAGCAAAGCCCATACCGCATAGTCAGCTATAAAAGGCCCCGAAATGAAAAATGTTTAACTATTCAAACGAGAAAATTGACGGCCTGATTTATGTACAAAATAATGAATGAAAAACAAATATGATGTACAGCAACAAACGACAACCACTGAATTACAGGCTCATGATTTGGGACAGGCACATACAGAATGTGGCGGGGTTAAACATGTTAGCGGATGCCCAACCCTCCCCCTAACCTGGGACAGTGGTGTAACAGTACAACATATGAACAAACTATAAAAAATCAGTTAAAAAAGGCTTAACTCATCAGATAGATACAAGGCCAAATCAAGTAACAAAAAAAAACAAAAAAAAAAACAGAGAGGACATGGCGCGGTACTTATACATCCCCACAACAAAAAAGTATAAAGACGTCATAAACAGCCAGAGAAAAACATGATCTTGTGCAATGCAAAGATACAGGTATCGACAGATTGTTTAAAAATAATATTTAGTTTGATTTTAATTTACTGATAACAAAATCAATATTAATACCAATAAAAAAAAAGACTATGTTATGTTTGCTCTAGATATATGATAAAGATTTCATTTCTTCTTCCATCGAGAAAGAAATAAAAATGATGGAAACAACTATTTCTCTGAACTGGTCTCTCAAACGATTCACCTACAAAAAAGCTATGATATAAACTCAATCCAACAAACGCTCAACAGGTACAAAACGGTCAATTAAACTGAGGACAAGAACTATTGCTTAACAGATTTTTGAATCGAGGAGCAGGTATACTGCTTGCCCTTCCAGAACACCTGCTTGAGTTTACATGTTTACCCCGGGTTTCGGTGGGAATTATGTTTCTCAATATTTAGTTTTCTGTTCATTGTTTTTGGATTTGTTCGTTTTTTGTTGATTTTTTTTTTACCATGGCATGCATGGCGCTGTTGGTTTTTTTTTTTTTTTTTTTTTTTACTAGTGTGTTTTAAATGTCTCCTTTGTATTTCCCGCTTTTTTTTTATAAACTTTGTTTTGTAAATTGTATTTTTTTTTTTGACAAGCTATACTTGTGGAGAGCATATCTGCGGCAACTATAGTAAGTCACCAAAACAAAAATCTATTAACATTAAGGTTTTTTAATCGGCTGTCTTTAATACAAAGTGCAACCTTTACCATAATCCCTCATTATACGGGAAACATTTTTAGCGATTACATCATTTGGTAGTGTGTTACTAAAGATAGACTTTATAGTGGATTATTGTTTACATTCGTTCAAGTGGAATGTTATAGAAGGTATTTATTTAAATAGAACTTATGATTAAGACTTAATATTGAAATCTATAGGTTTACCATGTTTACGTTATTTTACTGTGTATTTACTGTGTAAAATACACCATAATAACTTATCGATTCTCTTATAAATTACACATGTTATACTTGTGTGTAATTTCATTTTCATGTAGCCATATATTTTATTTGACAAAGCTTTGTGCTATTTACACATCAACATCATGTTTACTTAAATACGTTTTTCTATAATTGACTTCAAGAATTACAGTAACTATGATCATTCTTTACTGTTATCATTACACTCGATTTCATAATAAAAATATTGATGTTTAAAATGTGTGTACTAGGTAAACATCATTTCTATGATGCGCCGTTTTACTATTTATTCCTTATTTTCTGATATCAAAAATTCAATTTTTTGATGTATCAGGAAATCGATTTTTTGATATCAGAAATACGCGAATTTTTTATATCAAGAAATAAGAAATAAATAAATGAAGGCTCCTCGTGTGTCAATTAAAGCATCCAAGCTCACCCATGAGTCCAAGCAGAAGGAAATTTGTGCAAATAATGTTTCCGGTAGACCAATTGTTTTATAATGTGGAGTACCGCTACATGATATTGGTCATTATATTGATGATATAGGGTTCCTTGTTACAAAACAAAATACTTATATCAAGGACACTCAAGTTTTATAAACATGATTTAGTCTCCAGAAAACTGCTATTTAATAACATTTGAAGCAAAAATCATGTACACTTGTTTTCAGTTTGACGAAACTGAACGAGTAATGAATTACCTCGATCCAACTATTTACGAAATTCGAGTCCCATGCACTAAAATACAATATATTGAAACTTTTAGAAATTATTCTAAAATATAACATATTTTCTTTTGCGTCGAACACTTAGAATCTCAATCGGCAGAATTAGTCGACCTAAGAATTTACTGGAAAAAGTTTTACCAAGCTTGACACAGTCTTTGAAACAAAACACTGATATGTTCAAGATCTAGATACGATGGCTGGATGATATATTCAGGTTCAACTGACGTAATACACGATCTTTTCGCCTTACTTATATATCTAATACAATACATAACAACTTAAGTTTTACATACCAATTTTCTCAAAATGAAGTTAACTTTCTTGACAGTCGTTCTAATACAAAGATTGATTTTATTGATTTTTTGTGTTTTAACGCCACTTTTAAGCACCGCTTTTGGGCTATTTCGTGGCGGCCAGTTTTTATTGGTGGAGGAAGCCGGAGTGCCCGGAGAAAACCACCGACCTACGATAGGAAAACTGACAATCCTAGTCAATTAAGATTGGAGTCGAGTGCACCCGCACGAGCGGGGTTCGAACTCACAACCTCAGTGTTGACTGGCTAGTGATTACAGTAGTAACTACTTAGACCACTCGACCACCGAGGCCCCCTAATACAAAGACAAACGCTTCCAAAATGAAGGTATTTTAGATATAAAAACGTACATGTACATCAAACTCAAACTTTTCAATACTTCACAGGAAAAACTTATATAAAAGGATTTATGCAATGCGCGCACATAAGACATACTAGCAGTCTTTAACAAAAGTCTCTTAAAAAGACGAAATAGACGAAGTATTTGAAAATACAAGACATGCAATATTTTTTATTAGTTGTTTTTGGCTTTGAACTAGCTTTCAGTAACTGCAAGTACTCTCACATCTGTACTTCGTGTCTTTTTGTTGTTGTTTCGAATGTATAAAATACCTTGCCACGTCCGGTCTGTGTTTTTTGTTAGCTGTTTTTAGTCCCCTACCGACGAAGTCGAAGGGGACTTTAGGTTTGCACTCCGTCCGTATGTCTGTCTGTCCATCCGTCAGTCCGGCAAATCCGTTTTCCACACTTTTTCTTCTTCATTCTTGAAGATATTGTTTTGATAATTGTATACAGTTTTATCATGCCAAGTTGCAGTTCAAGTTCGAATTTTGTTCCGGTCTGGTGATTTTGTGCAGAGTTATGGTCCTTGGACTTAGAAAATTCACTTAAATAGTCAGTGTTCAACACTTTTTTTCGTCATGTTTCAATATATTGACTTGATATTTGTTAAATAGTTTATACCATGACAAGTTATAGATCAAGTTAGAATTATGTTCCAATACAATGAATTTTTAACCGGTAGGGGACTATGTATTGCCATGCAATACTCACAGAATGCTTGTTAGTCCCCTACCGACGAAGTCGAAGGGAACTTTAGGTTTGCACTCCGTCCGTCTGTCTGTCTGTCCATCTGTCAGTCCAGCAAATCAGTTTTCCAGACTTTTTTTCATCGTGCTTGAAGATATTGATTTGATATTTGGTTTATTGATTTATCATGACAAGGTACAGGTCAAGTTCAATTTTCACGATTTTAGTTTTTCTCTTTGTTCAGTAAAGCCCTTTCCCTAGAATTAAATGTTTGATGGAATACTTATTAATTGGTAGATTTCTGTTCAAAGGGAAATAACTCTTTTTTTAAAAGATTTTTAAATGACAAATTGAAATTTAGGATTTTTTCCTTTTCTTTGGTAAATTGTTTGAAGAATTTAGTGGTGGGTTTGTTTGTCATTCTTGAAGATATTGATTTAATAATTAGTATATAGTTTTATCATGACAAGTTACAGATCAAGTTGGAATTTTGTTCCAGTCTGATTAATTTGTGCAGAGTTATGGTCTTCGGACATAGAAAATTCACTTAAATAATCAGTTTTCAACAGTTTTTTTTCGTCATGCTTGAAGATTTTGACTTGATACTTTTATGTAGTTTACCCAATGACAAGTTATAGATCAAGTTAGAATTTCATTCCATTACAATGAATTTGTAACCGGAAGGGGACCATGTATTGCCATGCAATACTCACAGAATGCTTGTTCTTCTTTCTATCGATCTGATGAGTTAAGCCTTTTACATTCTAATACGTTCGTATTATTTTATCATGGTTATGGCGTTGGCTGCGTCTGAAGACATGTTGGTTCTCAGACAATAACTTGTGTATAAGTATGGATCTCTATGAAATTTTAGCACAAGGTTCCATACCACTAAAGGATGGTTGGGATTGTTTTTGGGGGTATTGTCTTAGCTGTTTTGTTATTAGGGACTAGAAAAGGGCCAAAAACAATTATTTGTCTGGTTTTAAGACAATAACTTGAGTATAAGGATATATATCTCTGTTAAATTTTAGCACTAGGTTCCACACCACAATAGGAAGGTTGGGATTTATTTTGGGGGGTTATTGTTTTAGCTGTGTAGGGATTAATGGCCAAAATGGGGCCAAAAAATACCATTTTTCATGTTTCAGGACAATAATTTGTGTATAAGAGTATGGATCTCTATGAAATTTACCACAAGGTTCTATACCTCTAAAGTAAAATTGGGATTTATTTTGGGGGTCATGGCCCAAACCGTTTAGGAATTACTGGCCGAAAGTGGGCCAAAAAACTAGGATTTTCTGGTTTCTGGACAATAACTTGAGTATACGTCTATGGATCGCTATGAAATTATACCGCAAAGTTCCGTAAAAGGAAGGTTGGGATTTATTTTGGGGGTTATGACCCTAACGGTTTAGGAAAAAGGGGCCAAAAACAATACTTTTGTAATACTTTATATAAATTGATTATTTCTTGACCAATTTCAATGGAGTTTAATTCAAAGTTTTGAATATTTGGGGTTCTTTGATATGCTGAATCTAACCGTGTATCATGTGTATTTAGATTTTTGATTTTGGGACCAGTTTTCAAATTGGTTTACATTAAAGTCGAAAGGGTCCAAAATTAAACTTTGTTTGATTTTAACAAAAATTGAGTTCAAGGGGTTCTTTGATATGCTAATTCTAAACATGTGTTAAGATTTTTGATTTTGGGCCCAGTATTCAAGTTGATCCAAATTGGGGTCCAAAATTAAACTTTATTTGATTTTAACAAAATTGAATATATGAGGTTCTTTGATATGCTGAATCTAACCATGTATCTAGATTTTTGATTTTTGGGCCCAGCTTTCAAGTTGGTCGAAATCGGAGTCCAAAATTAAACTTCGTTTGATTTTAACAAAAATTGAATATATCGGGTTCTTTGATATAATGAATCTAACCGTGTATTTAGATTTTTGATTTGGGGCCTGTTATCAAATTGGTCCACATTGAGGTCCAGAGGGTCCAAAATTAAACTTTGTTTGATTTCATAAAAAATTGTTAAAATTCTTGGGGTTCAATGATATGCTGAATCTAATCGTGTATTTAATTTTGCATATTGGACCATAATAGGTAAATGTCCAATTTCTAAATTTTTAGTTCTTTGACCACATTTTTATGTGTCAGAAACCTATGATGTGTCAAATATTTAATCACAATCCAAATTCAGAGCTGCATCAAGTTTGAATGTAAGTGTCCACACTTGCCACTACTGTTCGGGGTTCGACCTCTGCTGTCGTATCAAGCTGCGCCCCGCGGAGCATTTTATTTCTTATGTTGTGGTGTAACTCCAGTGTCCCAGGTTAAGGGGCTCAAACTTGTTTAACCCCGCCATATTCTTTATGTGCCTGCCCCAAGTCAGGAGCCTGTTGTTCAGTGGTTGTCGTTGGTTCATGTTTGTCATATTTGTTTTTCGCACATTGTTTTATTATAAATTAGGCTGTTAGTTTTCTCAAATGAATTGTTTCATATTTTTCATGGCTGCACAAATCTGTTTCAGAGGAAACCAATAATTGCTTATGAAAGAAACGGGAACTTACAAGAATTATTGACTATAAACCTTAAAGTAATTAATATGTGAAACACAAAAACACAAAACTTCTTATGGCTGATGAAGCCGAACTCAGAGATATTCTTTCCTTAAACACGACCGAAACTCGAGATATTATGTTAGGAATCATGGATGAGCTCGGATGCTTTTATTGACACACAGGGATCCATCATTAATTTTTTCTTATTGTGGAATTCGAATTTTTTATATCAATAAAATCATTTTTAGATTTTAGAAAATGTATTTCTTGATATCAAAATTCAGTATTATTTGATATCAGAAAATCTATTTTTTGATATAAAAAAAATGGATTTTTTGATATAAGAAAAATCGAATTTCTGATATCAAGAGATATAAATGATTTTTTGATATATAAAAATTGAATTCCTGATATAAAAAATCAATTTTTGATACCAGGAATTCAATTTTTTGATATCAAGAAATATTTTTTGATATCAGAAAATTTGGAATAAATAGTAAAACGGCACCTCATACATGTCGTCGTTCAAACGTGTGTACATGTTATAATGTAGTTCTGGTCTTGCACTTTCGCTCGGTAATTCACCTATATACTTCATATAAAATACATTTTTTTTAAACAACATCGTGTACTGTTTTCATCTTTATTATTTTTTTTAATTATAACTTGTCATTAATCAGAAATAATAATTTATGTATAGATATTGAAATTAAATTCTGTGTACTAGTTAACGCCCGTCCGTCCGTCCGTCCCTGTATCCATCTATCCGTATACCCGTCCGTCGGGTCCCGTATCCTTCTGTCCGTATGCCCATCCGTCGGTCTATGCATCATTCTATCCGTTCGCCCGTCCGTCCTTCTAAATTCTGTTTCATTTTTCTCAAGCCTCTTAAAATGTGAGCATGTTTTTTTTAGCACACTTTTCTGAGGACCTGCGAATTATAGCTTCCTGGAATATGGTATCGAGCTTAAGTTTAATTGGCTATACATTGTGAAGCGTTTTCAGATGTATCACTTATCAATGTTCTGTTGACCGGATGCTTACAAATATATGATGGCCATAAATGAAATGTTCGTCCCATTTTTCTCAAGAACTATGGATCAGACCTTGCTGCAATTTAGTTAAAGTTTTATATGTGATCATGCCGTTGAAATGGGTTATAACAACCATATCTCATCAACTTGACGTGATTAGTGTCACTCAGTCTTCAGTTTTAATTGTTTATCTAAATTTTGTTAAATTTCTATGTTCACAAATGTTTCATATTTTGTGCTTTCCAAACATTGATTTGGATTGTTCCTGATTGTGGTTTTTTCCGGAAACATGTGTTTTTCGCAAGAAAATCATAACATTTATATTTTCCAGATATGGTCCGTTCAAATAACTTATTTCTTCGTGTACTCAACTGGGTCAACAATACATGCTGTTGTAGGCGCTTATGCGATAGAAAAGACAGGGATGTCTCTTCATCAAAAGGACTTGCTTTGACAGGGGAGATTGAAGATTTACAGGTTTGTACACCTGTATTAAAACCCTTGAAAGTTACCAGGCTTATAAAAAATGAAAAACAAGACTTTATAAACTTGATGCGTCCGACGTACTAGCTTACGTATGTACTTACATATTGGTTGGGTTGTGGCCCAAACTGTTTAAGAAAAAGAGGCAAACAATCCGGATTTTCTGGTTTACGGACAATAACTTGAGTATTAATCTATGGATCTCTATGAAATTGTACCACAAGGTTCCATACCGAAAAAGAAAGCTTGGGATTTATTTATTTTCTTTTTGGGGGGGGGGGGGGGGGGGGGTTAATGGTCCTAAAAAGGGACCAAAAACAATACTTTTTCTAATACTTTGCATAAATTGCTTATTTGTTTACCAATTTCTAACTTTAAGAAATATAAATTAGAATGGAAATTTAACATTGCATTTGCTCTGAAGCCTTCATTTCTCTTAAGATATTAATACAAAGTTTTAAAGAACACATAAAAAAGTGATTTTGTATGCCCCCGCCGTAGCGGAAGGGGCATTAAGTTTTACCCTTGTCCGTCCGTACGTCCCAAATTTGGTTTCCGTTCACTAACTTTTGTATACCTCAACCAATGTTATGAAACTTATACACAATGCTTATTACCACAAAACACAGATCAAGTTTGAATTTTGGTGGCGTCACTTTTACTGTTCTAGAGTTATGCCCCTTTACAAATGGAAAAATTGCTGATTTTTTTCCGTTTTCGTTTTCTGACTAAGTTAGCCTCAACCAAATGTTATGAAACTTATACACAATGCTTATAACCACAAAAACACAGATCAAGTAGGAATTTTAGTTGCGTCACTTTTACCGTTCTAGAGTTATGTCCCTTTACAAATGTAAAAAAATGCCGAAATTTTCGTTTCTGTTCTCTAACTTTAGTTTGCCTCAACCAAATGTTATGAAACTTATACACATTGCTAATTACCACAACATACTGATCAAGTTTGAATTTTTGTGGTGTCACTTTAACAGTTCTAGAGTTATGCCCCTTCACAATTCGAAAATATCTGAATTTTTCGTTTCCGTTCTCTTACTTAAGTTAACCTCAACCAAATGTTATGAAACTTATACACAATACTTATTTCCACAAAACTCAGATCAAGTACAAATTTGGGTAGAGTCGCTTTTTCCGTTCTTCAGTTATGTCCTTTTATAACTTTATATGCTATGCAAGCGGGGGCATCATCTGTGCCCCACGGACACATTCCCCATTTATTCTTATCTTTTTTTATGTAGTAAACCCCTTGAAAAACTTAGCTTATATTGTCCATTAATAAATAAATAAATTAACCATTTGTGTATTTGGATAGGCTGAATATACACGTGTGTATTTAAATTTTGAATATTTGACCATAAAAGGTAAAAGTAAACTTTAAATTTTTCAGTTCTTTGACCACTTTCCTTCTGTGTCAGAAACCTGTGTTGTCTCAAATATTTAATCACATGGTCAATCCAAATTCAGAGCTGTATTAAGCTTGATTGTAGTGTCCATACTTGCCCAGTTTTTCAGGGTTTCAAGCTGCGCCCCGCGGATCATTTGATTGTTTTATAAATATAGTATGATTTCATCTGTTTTGCGAATAAATCGTGATGTGCCCAGAATTATGTTTCTTGCTAGAAATTTTGATAACATACTTATATATACTTAAAAATCAGTTCGAATCTGTCTCATTTTGTAAATTACATATAATATTCAGATGCATAATAATTTAAAGACAGACGTGTTATGTTATAGTTGAATTTCTCTAACCAATTAATTGTGGTCTTTGATTTATTAATGCATAGTTGAACATGATAACATGGTTATTTAAACTCAATTACAATACCTTCTAATTAAGAAAAGGCTTTAATTTTGAAAATACATCAATACAATAGTTTAAGTTAGAGACATAATGGATAATCGTTAATTCATGAAAAAAAACATTCGTCCACCGGGCTCACGGTTTATGTTTCAAGAACCAACGATATATCCATTGTATCTATAATACTGAGTACAACTTGTACTACTATAATAAACACCCGTGTCTTTGTAACCGTCGCTCTTTAGTATATACTTATCTTATCTTTTCCACTTGAGGTTTATTATAAGGTACCTATTTCATTTTATTCAGATGTTTTCCTTATACGACTATCCAATAAATTTATATAAGAATCTCTTCCATGAAGGAGTTGCCGAATCCCATCAAAAACTTGACAAACTCGGTGAAGACAGGAACTGGGACGAGCTCGTTTCTTTGGTTAACACTGGAAATGTATACTACTGTAGACTCCCCATTAAAGATGATTCAAATTCTTTAGCATCTTTGTACACACCACTTCACCATGCTGCTGCAGGGAAAGCCCCAAAACATGTCTTTGAAGATCTTTTGGAAAAAGGTGCATCTAAATGCCTGAAAACAACAAATGGAGAAACAGCATATGATTTAGCAGTGAAAAAATCCTTAGATGATGATATATTAAGACTTCTTGAGGTACCAGAAAATATACAGAAAAATTCAGAATCTATCGCAACAATGGAAAAATCTCTACATACTGTTATATTGGGAAGAGCGGAGAAACTAATCCAAGAACATGGAGTTCAACTCCCACAGCTTGTATTTTTATATGAAAAAGGTCCGTTTCATTATTCAGTTCCAATGATGTATGGTGGATTCAACGTAAGAAAATATAATGATGGCATAAAAGTTCACAGTTTTTGTCGTGTAGTGGGTGGAAGTGAGCAAGACCATGTAATTGAAAAAAATGGGAAAACTACTCTAAAAGATACAGGCTATGATTGTGCTTTCTAATAAGTTCGAAAAAAGTCAATAATAAATCTTTAAATACTGGTTGTAAGTGTTGTATAATACATATAATTCATTTGTTATTTGAAGCTGATAACTTTATTTTTATTTTCAAATTGTTTATTATAAAAGTGAGACAGAAAATACCAATGGGATATTCAAACCTCATTAGTCGATGAAAAACTGACACTCAAATAATCAGTTTTCCACACTTTTTTTCGTCATGTTTGAAGATATTGACTTGATTTTTGCTATAATGTTTACACCATGACAAGTTATAGACCAAGTTGGCATTTTGTTCCAGTACAATGAATTTTTAACCGGTAGGGGACTATGTATTGTCATGCAATACTCTCAGAATGCTTGTTAGATAAAAACTCCCAACTATATATATGAACTTTTTATAAGACCGCAATTTTTTTCTTGTTTCAGGACAATACCTTGTGTATAAGTGTATGGATCTCTATGAAATTTTACCACAAGGGTCCGTACATCAAAAGGAAGGTTGGGATTGATTTTCGGGGTTATGGCCCAAACCATTCAGGAATAAAGGGCCAAAAAGGGGCCAATAGCAGGGATTTTCTTGTTTCCGGACAATAAATTGATAATAAATCTGTGGATCTTTTTCAAATTGTACCACAAGGTTCCATACTAAAAATGGAAGGTTGGAGTTGATTTAGCAGGTTATGGCCCTAACCGTGTAGGAAAAAGGGGTAAAAAACAATACTTTTCTAAGATAAATTGCTTATTTCTTGACCGATTTCAATGGTGTTTAATTCACAGTCTTGAATTTTTTGGTTTCTTTAATATGCCGAATCTAACCGTGTATTTAGATTTTGGATTTTGGGACCTGTTTTCAAATTGGTCCACATTTGGTTCAAAGGGTACAAAATTAAACTTATAAAAAATAAGAAGATGTGGTCAAATTGCAAATGAGACAACTCTCCGCCAGCAGCCTTCAACAATGAGCACAACCCATACCGCATAGTCAGCTATAAAAGGTCCCGAAATGAAAAATGTAAAACAATTCAAACGAGAAAACTAACGGCCTGAGTTATGTAAAAAAAAACAATGAACGAAATACAAATATGATATACAGCAACAAACGACAACCACTGAATTACAGGCTCCTGACTTACTACAGGCACACACATAATGTTGCGTTAGTTTGATTTAAAAAAAATGAATTCTTAGGGTTTTTTGATATGCTGAATCTATGGTATTTAGATTTTAGATTTTGGGCCCAGTTTTCAAATTGGTACACATTGAGGTCAAAAGGGTACAAAATTAAACTTTGTTTGATTTCATCACAAATTGAATTCTTCGGGTTCTTTGATATGCTGATAACCATTTATTTAGATTTTGGATATTGGACCATAATACATAAATGTCCAATTTCAAATTCCTAAGTTCTTCGACCACATTTATTCTGTGTCAGAAACCTGTGCTGTGTCAAATATGTAATCACAATCCGAATTCAGAGCTGTATCAAGCTTGCATGTTGGGTCCAACGGTTCAGGGTTCAACCTCTGTGGTCGTGTCAAGCTGCGCCCTGCATTTCATTAACCAGTTGAGATATAAATTATCTAAAAGTAACTGCAAATTATTGAGACATGTCTTTATTTTATAAATTAAGTACACAAGCATATTTGTGAAAAGTCTCATATGGTGATGTCACAATAGAGGAAAACAGGACAAGATTGTATTAATGACAACTGGAACATATCTGCTGTCATCTGTGACATACATATTGCATCAAAATTATTATTCCTCAAGAAATACTTTTTATGCCCTCGCCGTAGCGGAGGGGTCATTAAGTTTTAGCCTTGTCCGTCTGTACGTACGTCCGTCCGTACGTCCCAAAGTTGGTTTCCGTTTTCTAACTTTAGTTTGCCTCAACTAAATGTTATGAAACTTATACACAATGCTTATTACCACAAAACACAGATCAAGTTTGAAATTCGTATCCGTCACGATAACGGTTCTTGAGTTATGCCCCTTTATAAACATAAAAATTGCTGAATTTTTCGTTTCCGTTCTCTAACTTTAGTTTGCCTCAACCAAATGTTATGAAACTTATACACAATGCTAATTACCACAAAATACAGATCATGTAGGAATTTGGTGGTATCACTTTAAAAGAGGGACGAAAGATACCAGAGGGACAGTCAAACTCATAGATCGAAAACAAACTGACAACGCCATGGCCAAAAATAAAAAGACAAACAGACAAATAATAGTACAGATGACACAACATAGAAAACTAAAGACTAAGCAACACGAACCCCACCAAAACAGGGGGTGATCTTAGGTGCTCCAGAAGGGTAAGCAGATCCTGCTCCACATGTGGCACCCATCGTGTTGCTTATGTTATTACAAATCCGGTAAATAGTCTAATTCGGTAGGTCACATTCGTGAAAAGGGTTCTAGAGTTCTGCCCTTTACAAACGGAAAAATTGCTGAATTTTTCGTTTCCGTTCTCTAACTTAAGTTTGCTTAAACCAAATGTTATGAAACTTATACACAAAACTTATTACCACAAAACTCAGATCAAGTACAAATTTGGGTAGTGTCACGTTTACCGTCCTTGAGTTATGTCCCTTTATAACTTTATATGATATGCAAGCGGGGGCATCATCTGTGTCCCATGGACACATTCCCCATTTATTAAGTTATTGTCCTTGTACCTTGGATAGATAAAATATGTGCAATGCTGGGGACATTGGAACTATGTTCTTTTATTTTTTATACGACCACAGGTAGTATTATGTTATGGTGTTGTCTGCGTCTGCGTCTGAAGACATTTTGGTTCTCAGACAATAACTTGAGTATAAGTTCATGGATCTCTATAAAATTTTAAAACAAGGTTTCATACCAGTAAAGGATGGTTGGGATTGTTTTTTAGGGGCTATTGTCCTTGTGTAATTAGGGGCCAAAAAAAGGTCAGTTTTACTAGTTCACGGAAAATGAATTGGTTCGCAGACAATAACTTTAGTGTAAGTGTACGGATGTGTAAGAAATTTTAGTACAAGGTTCCATACCACAATAGGAGGGTTGGGATTGATTTTGGGGGTTATTGTCGTAGATGTTTTGTAATTAGGGACCAGAAAGGGGCCAAAACAATTATTTGTCTGGTTTTAAGACAATAACTTGAGTATAAGAGATATTTATTCGGTCAAAATTCTAACACAAGGTTCCACACCACAATAGGAAGGTTGGGATTAATTTTTGGAATTGGGGTCTAACAAAATCAATTTTTGTCAGGTTCACAGACAAAAACTTGAGTATAAGTGTATGGATCTCTATCAAATTTTAGCACAAGGTTTCATACCACAATAGGAAGATTGGGATTTATTTTGGGGGTTATTGTCGTTCCTGTTTAGGAATTAGGGGCCAAAAAGAAGCATTTTTCATGTTTCAGGACAATAATTGGTTTATAAGAGTATAGATTTCTATGAAATTTTACCTCAAGGTTCCATACTTCAAACGGAAAGTTGGGATTGATTTTAGGGGTCACGGTTCAAACTGTTTAATAATAAGGGGCTGAAAAGGGGCAAAAAACTAGGATTTTCTTATTTCTGGACAATAACTTGAGTATAAGTCTATTTATTGCTATTTAATTGTGCCACAAGGTGTTATACCATAAAATAAAGTTTGGGATTGATTTTAGGGGTTATGACCCTATTGGTTTAGTTAAAAGGGACAAAAACCAATACTTTGTATAAATTGCTTATTTTTTTAGCAATTTCAATGGGCTTTAATTCAAAAGTCTTGAATTCTTGTGAGTCTTAAATATGCTGAATATAATTGGGTATTTAATATTTGGATTTTAGGGTCTGTTTTTGAAATGATTCATATTGAGGTCCAAAGGGTCTAAAATTAAACTTTGTTTGATTTCTTTAAAAATTAAATTATTGGTGTTCTTTGATATGCTGAATCTAATTGTGTATTTAGGTTTTTTTTTAATTTTGAGGCTTGTCTTCAAGTTGGTTCACATTAAGGTCCAAAGGGTCCAAAACACAACTTTTTTTTTATTTAAGAAAAAAAATTGAATTCTTCGGGCTCTTTGATATGCTGAATCTGAGCGTGTATTTAGATTTTTGATTGGTGCATGGTCGGCCCACATTAAGGTCCAAAGGGTCCAAAATTAAACTTTGTTTGATTTAAGAAAAAAAAGAATGATTGGGGTTCTTTGATATGCTGAATCTAAGTGGTATTTAGATATTTGATTTTGGGCATAATATTCAAGAACGTCCAAATTGGGGTCCAAAATTGAACATTGTTTGATTTCATCAAAAATTAAATTGTTTGCGTTATTTGATATGGTCAATCTAACAGTGTTTTTGATTTTTTTATTTTGTGCTTGGTTTTCCAAGTTGGTCCAAATTTAGGTCCAAAATTAAACTTTGTTTGATTTCTTCAAAATTTAAATCATTTGTGTTCTTTAATGTGTGCAATCTAGCATTGTTTTAAATTTTTTATTTTGGCCCCGTTTTTCAAACTGGACCCCATAAAGGTCCAAAGTATCAAAAAAAAAAAACTTAGTTTGATTTTAACAAAAAATGAAACAATGTGGTTATTTGATATGTTGAATCCAACCATGTATTTAGAATTTGAATATTGGACCATGATTGGTAAATGTCTAATTTTAAAATTATTTAAGAACTTATACCACATTCATTCTGTGTCAGAAACTATGCTTTTATTACATATTTGCTCAGAATCTAAATTCAGAGATATTATTGCACAATTAATTATGGGTCATAGTTGAAAATAGATATAACATCATATCTAATTTTAGAGAACTATTTTTGTGGTTTTCATCACTGGTTCATGGAAAATAAATTGGTTCACAGACAATAACTTTAGTATAAGTATATGGATGTGTAAGAAATTTTAACACAAGGTTCCATACCACAATAGGAGGGTTGGGATATTCAATAGTTAATGAAGCTCTACATTTATAGATTTATTGCACAACTAATAGTTTAAAATAGATTTGCTCTTTTAGATATATTATTTGTGGTGATAATTGTGTATGCATTGTGTTCTATTTAAAGATTGTTAACATACTTGAATATTTTCTTATGGTTGAAAATTCCCTTGGAACTTAAAATAGACTTTTGTGCATCTGTTGAAGTGGAAGTGTAGGTAAGTGAAGTTTTTAAATACAATTGTGCCATACATTATGTTATGTTACATCTTGATAAAAAAAAATGTTATTTTTAGATAATAATCTATTTTTATTAAAGGATATATTTCATTACAATACATTAATGTGTAGATAAAGTTTGTGACAAATGAAAGAAAAAAATATCGGGAACTATTAATTATATAAATAAAGTTTGATTACAGTAAGTGTTTTTATACGATCTAAAATTTATTTGCCTTCTTTAACTTTTTGTTGTTGTTTGTTTTCCATTATGATAACTGTGAAATACCATGCCCATACTGAAAAGAAAATCTACATTAATGATAAGAAATGATCGTAAAAAAATATTGAGGTCCAAAAGGTCAAAAATAAAACTTTGTTGGATTTTTTCAAACATTGAATTATTGGGGTTCTTTGATATGCTGATTTTCAACCATGTATTTAGAATTTGGATATTTGACCATAATTGGTAAATGTCCAATTTTAAATTATTTAAGAACTAATACCACATTCATTCTGTGTCAGAAATTATGCTATTATTAAATATTCAATCAGAATCTAAATTCAGAGATGTATTGTGCAAGCAACAGAAATTTTAAGTTGAGTCATAGTTGAAAATAGATACAGCATCATATCTAATTTTAGAGAAGAAATTATGTTTTGATATAGTTTGAAATTTACTGTTCATTATTAGATATTTAAAAAATAATTAAAGGTAAGTTTTATAGATTTATTAAAGACTTTGCATTTATGAGGAATAATATTTTGGAATTGTTTTTTTCTTCATTTTTTTTTACAATACTTTTCTAATTACTTTGTATAAATTGCTTATTTCTTGACCAACTTCAATGTGGTGTAATTCAAAGTCTTGTATTCATGTGGTTCTTTGATATGCTGTATCTAACCGTGTATTTAGATTTCAGATTTTGGGCTCCATATTTGAATTGGTACAAGGATCCAAAATTTAACTTTGTTTGATTTCATCAAATATTCAATTATTGGTGTTCTTTGATATGCCGAATCTAAGAATGTATTTAGATTTTAATTTTGGGGCCTTCTTTCAAATTGGTCCACATTAAGGCTCAAAGGGTCAAAATTATACTTTGTTTGATTTAAAAAAAATGAATTATTTTGGTTCTTTGACATCTGAATCTGAATCTAACTGTGTATTTTAAGTTTTTGATTTTGGGACCGATTTTCAAATTGGTCCACATATTCCAAAATTAAACTTATTTTGATTTTATGAAAAAATGAATTCAAGGGGTTCTTTGCTAAAATGAATCTAAGCATGTATTTAGATTTTTGATTTCGGGCCAATTTTTCAGTTGGTCTAAATTGGGATCCAAAATTAAACTTTAGATGGTCCACATTGATGCCCAAAGGGCCCAAAATTGAACTTTGTTTGAATTAAAACAAAATTGAATTCTTGGGATTCTTTGATATGCTGAATCTAACCGTGTATTTAGATTTTGCAAATTGGCTCGTGATAGGTAAAAGTCCAATTTCAATTTTTTCAGTTTTTCGACCACATTCATTCTGTGTCAGAAACCTATGCTATGTCAACTATTTAATCACAATCAAAATCCAGAGCTGTATCAAGCTTGAATGTAGTGTCCATACTTGCCCCAACTGTTCAGGGTTCGACCTCTGTGGTCTCTTTACAAATGGAAAAATTGCTGAATTTTTTGTTTCCGTTCTCTAACTTACGTTAGCATCAACCAAATGTTATGAAACTTATACACAATGCTTATTACTACAAAATACAGATCAGGTTTGTTTTTTGGGGTGTCACTCTTATTGTTCTAGAGTTATGCCCCTTTACAAATGGAAAAATTGCTGAATTTTTCGTTTTCGTTCTCTTACTTTAGTTTGCCTCAACCAAATGTTATGAAACTTATACACAATAGTTATTTCCACAAAACTCAGATCAAGTATAAATTTGGGTAGCGTCACTATTGCTGTTTTTCAGTTATGTCCCTTTATATGATAGACAAGCGAGGGCATCATCTGTGTCCCGTGGACAAATTCCCCATTTATTGTCTTAGTGTTGCTCATTGGTCTCTACCCGAAATATCCCTTTATTAAGCACTCTGTGGCCAACGTGATGTGTAAAGAAGTTGGTCACATTTGACTAAAATCCTCAATCTGGCAATTAAAATCCGGAAGAAAGTGTAACTGTGCAGGATGTATAAATGCAAAGCAAATTCTGTTTGTATTCTTTTTGAGAACCAATGACTTACTGATTTAAAAATGGCAGATGAATTCTTTGTGAACAATTATTGATTTTTAGCTAGTCCAACACTGCAGCTAGTTACACAATAACATGATCTAGCTGCCTTAAGTATAAATGAATCTATGAAACTACAGTTCCGATGATCTTCTTTGATAATATTTGCAGATCACATCCTAGAATTAAACTTTGAATGTTATGGAGAAGTTTGGTGGCTTATTCAATCCGACACAAGAAAAAGACAAAATTCACACTATGATTCTTAAGGACCAACACAGACCACTAAAGACTCATATAAATACTCATTTTATCCAAGAACAATATAACAATGGCACCTTCTAATTGTAACTGCAGTAAATGTACTACACTTGGTTGTTTCCGAGAACAGATTCCAATATCTGTTCTCATGCAACAAACACCTTCACATATAAATTAAACATACACTGTGTACAGTTTTAACCAAAATGTATAGCACAAAACAGAAGAGAAAAAGAAATTACTTGAACTTTTATTTGTATATATCAAATGTAAATAGAAATTATATCCCATGCACGTGCGGCAAGGTGACATCAGTGCTCGGCACGTTATCATCAGTATGTTGATGGAGTGATGAATTATAAAGAAGAAGAAGCTTCAGTGAACATGTCAGATCTATTTTGTAAGACACTCTTAAGATAATTTAACACAGCTTATCCCAGCCGTCTTAGGTTTCTCTTTTGACACTTCCCCAATCCATAAAACTTCATTTTTGTCAATACAAAGACTTACAGGATACTCTATTCCTAAGTTTCTTACATCCTTGCATACAATAATCTCTCCAGCATGATTTAATACATGTATAGCATGATTCATAAAATCAGAAACTAAAATCATATCGAGAGAGGTTATTGCCAAATCTCTTGGAATAAATTTATTCTGACCAGAACTGATACTTTCACAACCATTGTAGGTCCAATGGAGTTGTTCACAATTATCCAACATTACGACTTGACCGTCCCATTCATTATTTTAAAAACTCCACAACTACTATCTTATCATTTAAAGTTTTGATTCTATAAGGCCATGATAACAATCTCTGATTATCTTTGTCATATTCAATAGTATGTTGTAAGTCACCATTCAGGTTCATAACCACAAGTCTTCTGATACTATTTTCTGTATCAATCACCTCTAAGGAATCAGACAAACCTACTATTACGTTATTGTTTTTTGTTACATGTACACCTAAAGTTTTTAAGGGAGTAAAGGCCATAAAAGTCTTAAATGTTCCATCTGAGGTATAAAGTTTTAGATCACTTTCTCCAAATGACACAATTACTTTACCATCCTGTGTCTTTTCCATATCATTCACTATTATCTCAACGTCTCTCTCTACTTTCGTGTTGTCATTTTCAAATTTGACTTGTTGTAGTTTTCGGCTTGCAATACTTCCTATTAATGCAGTATTGTCATCACAAAATAGAATATTTGTCACACTTTTATTATTACTTTGATATTTTTTTATAAGTTCAAAGTCTGGAACTGAATAAAGGTCACCAAGAATGTTACTTCCTATTTTCACTTGCCTACTGTTAGGAATGAACTGTGTCTCGCTCTGTTTGAATTGTTTAACTGAATATTTTGGTAATGACTTATCTAAAGTTTGAGTTGTAGAGAAAATGTCTGTCACCTGATGAGTCTGCAGCGCTTGGTATAGATTTTTCTTCCTGATTTCCAACTCATCTCCATTCTGTTTTAAGGCAGAAAGTTCAATTTTGATCATATTTTCTGACAGTTTCCATTTTGCATCTAGATCTTGCAAGAGGTCATTAGCATATTTTGAAATAGCCTCTTTCATCTCTTTCTCAGTTTGTAGAATTATATTCCTGGTTTCTTGAAATTTTTTATCACCATCCGAAAGCTTGATTTCCAGTCGATCCCTTTCATTAGTAAAGAACTTAAGATTTGATTCAAATGTGTCTATAAGTTCCTTCATTTCAGAGATAATTTTATTATACACTTCATCAATTTCTCTATAGTCATGCATTTTATGAGTCTCGGTTAAACATTTGGAACAAACAGGCTCACTGCAGTCTTTGCAATAGATAAAACACTTTTGGTTACTATGAATTGTACATTGCAAATTTTGGAGGTCAACTTTACGCATTGTTTTGGCAAAATTCTCTGTATCAATATCTTTTAAATTTATAATTTCATGATCCATGGAGGCCTTACTTTTACTATGTATCTTTGAACAGCACAGATTACATAGAAATAGTTCACAGTTTATACACTTCCACTTAATCTCTGGTGATTCTTCGCAGAATTGGCACATAGCTGGAGTTTGTGCTTTCCCTATGGACTGAGAAAACGCCATTTTGTGTATATTATCCAGTCACTATTGGTGATCTAAAAATAGGTTTTACTTCCTCATTGAAAGAAAACTATCACAAGGTCATAGCTTACATTTAAGTAAGTTAATAATAGTGTTTTGATCATTCAGATATTTAAAGAACTGGTAACACATATATACCATGTATAACAAGACAAGATATACATGCACTATAGAAATGTGAGGTCTATATGTCATACTGTGGATTCATTATTATTTGTTGGATACCAATTTGCTTGGATGTCTTGAATACATATGTATATTTAGACCACCAATTCAATATACAGTCGAACCTCGTTGTGTCGAACTCGGTTGTGTCGAAAACTCGGATGAGTCGAAGTAATTTCTCGGTCCCGGTAAAATTCCCGTTTGAACAATGCATAATTACCTCTGATGTATATGTAAACCACCAATTCAATATACATGTAATATAATGGAATTCTATGCGACTGTCATACAAATGAGAGGTTTAGCAGCTATGATACCAGGTTTAATCCACAATTTTCTACATAAGAAAATGCCTGTAACAAGTCAGGAATATGGAAGTTGTTTTCCATTTGTTTTAGGGTTTGATTTTGCCATATGATAAAGGACTTTCCATTTTGAATTTTCCGTGGAGTTCGGTATTTTTGTTATTTTACTTTTTTTATAACATTAACGGTACACTTTTACTGCACCAGATGCGCATTTCGACAATTAATGTCTCTTCAGTGATGCATGAGGCCAAAATATTTTAAATTCCAAAAACTTGAAAAAAAAAATGAAGAGATGATAAAACCAAATAGGACAAAAAGTATAGCCAAAGTCGGGCAAGGAATCAGAGCTTTGCATGACGGAGATATATTCCTTGATTTTAAATAATTTCCAAAATTTAGTAACAACAATATCTTTATTTTCAAATGATCTGTTTCAACATCTTTAAATGGTCAACAAAGTACAATATGCGCTTGAGAAATTTGAGATAATTTTGTCGTACTAAGCCAAAAATCAATTGCCGTATATGTAATGTTTTTATTTTGTCATAACATGGACCAACAGTGGACAATTATACATTTTTTTTATACAACCGCATTTTTTTGCGTTCGTATAATGTTATGGCGATGTCGGCGTCCGCAGACTTTTGGTTCGCAGACAATAACTTGAGTGTAAGTGTATGGATCTCTATGAAATTTTAGCACAAGGTTCCTTACCACAATAGGAAGGTTGGGATTGATTTTGGGGGTATTGTCGTAGCCGTTTTGTAATAAGGGGCCAAAAAGTGTCCAAAAACCAAGCATGTTTACCGGTTCATAGACAATAAATTGGTTCGCAGACAATAACTTGAGAACAAGTGTATTTATCTGTATGAAAGTTTACCACAAGGTGCTTTACCACAATTGATTCATATGGATTGATTTTTGGGGTTATTGTCCTACCCGTTTTGTAATTAAGCGCCAAAAAGGGACTAGAAACAATTATTTTTCTGGTTTGCAGACAATAACTTGAGTATAAGTGTGTAGATCTCTATCAAATTTTAGCACAAGGTTCCATACCACAATAGGAAGGTTGGAATTTATATTTTAGGTTATTGTCGTAGCTGTTGAGTAATTAGGGGTTAAAAATGGGCCACAAACAAGCATTTTTCATGTTTCGAGACAATAATTTGTGTACAAGAGTATGGATCTCTATGAAAAAAAAGTCTTGAATTCTAGGGGTTCTTTAATATGCTGAATCTAACCGAGTATTTAGAATTTGGATTTTGGGCCCTGTTTTTTAATTGATCCATATTTTGGTCCAAAATTAAACTTTGTTTGATTTAAAAAAAAAAATTGTTCGGTTTCTTTTATATGCTGAATCTAAGCGTGTATTTAGATTTTTGATTTTGGGCACAGTATTTAAGTTGGTCCAAATTGGGGTCAAAAATTAAACTTTGTTTGATTTTATCAAAATTGAATTATTGGTGTTCTTTGGTATGCCCAATCTAACAGTGTATTTAGATTTTTTATTTTGGGCCCGATTTTCAAACTGGTCAAGATTAAGGTCCAAAGGGTCCAAAATTAAACTTAGTTTGATTTTATCAAAAATTGAACACTTGGGGTTCTTTGATATGCTGAATTTAAGCGTGTATTTAGATTTTTGATTTTTGGGCACATTTTTCAAGTTGGTTCAAATTGGGGTCAAATTTAGATTTTGGATATTGGACCATAAAAGGTATATGTCCAATTTTGAATGTTTATATTATTAGGCCACATTTATTCTGGGTCAGAAACTTATGCTAAGTCAAATATTTAATCACAATTCAGATTCAGAGATGTATTGCACAATTATTAGAAATTGAAAGTAGAATCATAGTAAGTATTAGATCAATATCATATTCTAATTCAAGAAATTATGTATAAATATTATAGTTTAAAATTTACTGTTCATTATTAGATATTTTGAAAAATAAAGGTAAGTTTTGTAGATTTTTAAAGACATTGTATTAATGATATATGCTATTACGGAAATTGTTTTTTTTTTTTTTTTTTGTAAATATTTTTAAGAACTTTATGGTAGGCGAACTCCTTTGAAAACTTAGCTAATTTTGTCCATCAATAAATCAATAAATTGAATTGTTGATGTACTTGGATATACTCAATCTAACCGTGTATTTAGATTTTGGATATTCCAAAATCAGAGCTGTATCAAGCTTGAATGTAGTGTCCAAACTTGCCCAAGCTATTCAGGGTTCGACCTCTGCGGTCGTGTCCAGCTGCGCACTGCGGAGCATTTTATTTTAGAAATACAGTAAGTATGAAGTTGGCAAGTATGTTGATTTTGAGGGAAGTGATTGGAAATAAAGGGTTATTATGAGAAGTATAAATATATCCTAGAATCATAAGCACAAACAATTTGCATGATTATGGAGCTGGGAGTTCTTAGGTTGTGAACTTTTGCTTTGAATTTCACTGAGCATAAACCACAATTGCAGTGGGAAAAACAGGAAATATCTTTAAATTTAACAGGTGTGCTCCCCATTTATGGCAGCACTAAATTGTTATCATTGACTGATTTCAAGAGGTGTTAATCTGACTCATGGAATTATAAAAGTAGGGCAGAAAGGGGAAAGGGTTATTCTTGACTGATGCTAATTTTACCCTTGTCATATGAGTTTAGTCATATAACTCTTAAAAATAACACCCAATAAAATTACCCAAGTTTATAGTAATTAAGTCAAAAGTAGATTACCACAACACAAACTCATCTTTTAACATATTCAGGTATGTGCATGTCCAAAGTCGGAATCTTGTCTGGTTTGGCAGATCTTTTACAATTGCTGTTAAGTTTACTCACAACTTTTGGGATTCAAAGGGATTTATAGCTGCATGTATTGTATAAACACCTGTCCTTGGTGAAGTCTGTATGTTGCCCTACATATATATAATTTTGGTTACTAGTATTTGTGTTTTTGGTTAATTTAGCTTTAGGTTTTTAATTTTGAGCCCCGTTTTCAAATTGGTACACATTAAGGTCCAAAGTGTTCAAAATTAAACTTTGTTTGATTTCCACAAAAATTGGATGATTGGAGTTCTTTGATATGACGAATCAAACCGTATATTGAGATTTTGAATTTTTGGACCCCGTTTTCAAATTGGTTCACAATAAGGTCCAAAGGGTCTAAAATTAAACTTGGAATATAAAAGTAAGAGGATGTGGTATAATTGTCAATGAGACAATTCTCCATCAGAGACCAAATGACATAACCTGTTAATGATGAAGTACAAAAAACGATATTAAGTTTTTTTTATTGTCATTCAGGAGTTATTTGTCCATCACACTTCAAATTTAAAGAGACCGAAAAACTGTATTATGTTTAAAGACCGGAGGTACAACTTGTTCAAGTAATTTTTATATTTTTGAAAAATATGTAAATTTTCATGTATGCGCAATGTATAAATAAAAATGTGACAGTTTTGATTTGCAATAAAAACTTGCATAATTTCAGTAGGGATTTTCACAAAATGTTTGCAATCGTATTAATAAGATCTCACAAAAAGTCATGTTTACCAGTAATGATCAGTGATTTGCAATAATGCATGCACTCATTCAACTCGGAATTTACAGTTTTTCCTCGAAATGTCTTATAGATAGTATTTTTGTTTGTGTTTAGGTTTCTGTCTAAAATATAAAAGTCATTGATGTATAACCCACATCTCTTTTTATTCATATATATACGTTATTGTTTTTACAATACCAGTCGGTGTCGGAGCCAATGCTCCGTGTTGAAGGCCGTACCTTGACCTATAATGGTTTACTTTTATAAATTGTAACTGGGATGGAAGAGTTGTCTCATTGGCACTCATACCACATCTTCCTTTATCTATATTCAGCAAATGACAACAACATAATATTAATACTCCTCAGTAAAATATAAAAAAGCTACTATTAATTTTAACAGATGAACACAAACCAAAACATAAAATGTTTAGTAGAAATCCCCATTAGATATGTTATTTTACCAATTGAAAGGTCAAATTGCAACTGAAAAAAATGCAACCAAAAGCCATTTGTCAACAAAAATATTATTTCAGATAAAAATTTGCATTACTTAACATGCAGTTGAATTGATACCAATATCACCCCAGAATAAACAAATTTTTTTTTTTTTCACCAGTAAAAAATAAAATTAAAAAAAAAGTCGCAAATAAATAAGCAGAAGAATATAAATGAACCTCCCTCACAACAAAGAAAAAAAAAACATGGAGTGATATAAATATTGAAAGTTTGATTAAAAAAGTTAATATAGATTTAATAAACAGATAAACAAATTTGAATTAAATATGAAAAAAAAAGTACAGTAATGTAAATTGAATAATCAAGTTAAATTTGCCAAATTTCAATCAAAACACAATATAGATCTACAATTTAAAAAGCCAATTTTCCTAAAAATAAATCTTTTATATTGTAGAATTTTGGATTTACAAATATAAAATGGTGCAGAAACTATCTGATGTGAAGCAGGTCAAGTTTACGGTCTTATTTCATACACGCCAAATACTTATGACCTCATCATGCCAGCAAAAGGTCGCACCATCTGCAAATCATGTAGCACATTCATAATGCAAATTTGATTTAAGTAAACCCTGTTTTTACAGCAATGCAGTTTTTCACCAGTTAATTTAAAAAAGGGAGCAATTAAATAAATATTGAACCCCTTTTCCTCTCCACAAAAAATATATGAAAGTTAAAAACTTAATTTTGGAAAAAAATGCATAGTTAAGTTATCATACAATTGTAATACTCATCACTTGTATAACTATATAAATTTAAATCCCAGAAAAATTTCAAGAAAGATTTTAACTTAGATGTAACCCATGAGAAATGCTTAATCTATCCCCATCTCACCTCCCTTAAAATCAAGTTTGAATGACTAAATGCAGGATATATTCACTCTCATTTAAATATGTTTACAGTATAAGTGTATGGTTTTGTTCTTCAGCTAAATACATTAAACCCCCCTCCCCCAAGTTATTCTATCACATTTCCCTTGTGTCCTAAAAAATAAGGTCTCTGTTACCTGCTTTTCACCAAGTTCAACTATTCATTTAGGTAGTGAATTGGACACTGACATTAAACAGTGGCTACATGTTTAAATTGGACTTAATCAGGTTTTAAACATGTGTAAAAGCAGAGACATATAAACACATATGTGTCTGGTACAAGTTAGGTCCCAGTGACCTACTTTTGCCAGAAGGGCAGCTACTACATACTAGACTCAATGAACTGATACACTACAGTGCATTTCAACTTATCAAATTCCAATAGAAAATTAGATCACAATGACCTACTTCTACAAGAAAAGCATCTATGGTGGGTACAAGATTTTATCATTTAAAACCATACTTTATTTAAATTCAGACATTAACTTAATCAAAAGTAATGACAAGTAAAAAGAAGATCAGCTGATGATTTTTATGCCCCACCTAGGGGCATTATGTTTTTCGGTCTGTGCGTCCGTTCGTTTGTCCGTCCGTCCGTCCTTCCGTTCGTCCGTCCGTCTGTCCCGCTTCAGGTTAAAGTTTTTGGTCAAGGTAGTTTTTGATGAAGTTGAAGTCCAATCAACTTGAAGCTTAGTACACATGTTCCCTATGATATGATCTTTCTAATTTTAATGTCAAATTAGAGTTTTGACCCCCAGTTTCGCGGTCCACTGAACATAGAAAATGATAGTGCGAGTGGGGCATCCGTGTACTATGGACACATTCTTGTTTGTTTTCTACCTTTGGTTTCAAGTTTACATGTTGAAGATGATAATACTGTGGATTCATTTGTTTTTCGTGGGTACCGATTTTCGTGGATTGAGGAAAAATTGTATTTTCATGGATATTTGATTTCACAATTTGGCCAAAGTCTGCATAAAAGCCTATAGAAAATTTATATTTTGTGGAACGTTTGAATTTGTGGTTCACCTATACCCACAAAATCCACAAAACTTTGTTTCCCACAAAAAATAATGAATCCACTGTATACAACAATTTTGTAAAAAATAAAACACAGCATCATTTCATCTGTCTTCTTTAGGTTGATCAATAAAACAATATATTTTCTTATTTATTTTTATTTTAGGTGGTTGTAATATGACAATGTTTTCATGGAATTGGGAGTAAGACTTGGATATCTGATACTGTTAACATGTTGGTAGGTATTAAAGAGGGGCGTGCGTAAAGGGGTGTATCTGCACGGAAGAACACGAAATAAAATTGCCATTTCACGATGAATGAACAATTAAAAATTTTTGCACGTTGATCTTTTTACCGATTTCACAAAACACGGTGAATAACAAACCTTTTTCACGGCTGCACGTGAAATAAAAATGGCAAAACACGTTGCACGAAAATAACCTTTTACCACCCTCATTAAAGCATTTTATGCCCCCTGCCTCTAGGTCCTCCCATTTTCGTTTCCACACTCTTAACTTAATTTTTTCTCATCCAAATTTTACGAAATTCATGCACAGTGCTTAGAACCAAAACACTCAGTTGGAAAATTGGGCAGTGAGTCACTTACCATTCTAGAGTTATGCCCTTTATAACTTGGAAAATTGCAAATATTTTTGTTTCCACACTGGCAGTGACATCAAATGCTCTCAATATGTGTTTTCACTTATTATAAGCCAGCTTGAACAGGGGCATTTGTGTCCTCAGACACATTCTTTCTTTTATTTTGGAATAATTTTGTAGTATTTGACATCAATTTTATAAAGGTTGTACCAAAAAATGAATTGTACACTATGATAAAATACAGGTTGGTTTTTTCCTATAGCGTTTTTTGGTGTCCATCTGGCAGGTTTCATCTGGCCTCCACCTTTTTTTTTATGGTTCATTGGACAATATTAAGTTTTTGTGGTTTGGTCCATTTCCCAGATACTTTCAGCAATAGGGCAAATATTTTTGGTGTATAGAATGATTGTAAGGTGTACACATTGGACGTGAAGGTTTCATCTGACCATGACCTCATTTTCATGATTCAAAGGTCAATGATAAGTTTCATTTGATGAATTTTGAGCTTATGCATTCACTTGGCGTCCGTTGTTCTGGAACTCATTCATCATTTGTTCTTCATGTGATCATCATTTTATATTGTTTATGTTTCATTGCGTACATCACTTTATATGCTCCAGTTTTAGGAGTTTTATACAGGACAGTATAGGAACCCATGTTACTTTCCCCTCTCTTCTGAGTGACGAAAAACTGCTCAGCAGGAGGCCGTGTGCACAACTGCAAGGAACATTCAGCGGACACGTTGTCCAAAGGAACAATTCGTGGCTAACCACAGCGTGAGTTACCTTTAAAACATTACAAATTATGTCTTTACATCAGCGATGAACTGTTTTAATATGTTTTCCTATGTTATAAAGAAACTATGAACATTTAACCGTTCAAACTGTTCGTATCTGCGATTACACAATTTAATTCAGACAGAACCCGACGTGTGCAAGAATATTCATCTATTTATTATTATAAAGAACATTAACAGCTTTATAAATCTACGAGCTGTTTATCCGTATTTTTAATGGACTTTAATTATCATTGAACACATTGTAAAATTGTATTTATATTTGTATTTTTAGTTTTTCACCATTTGGATTGGTAGTGAAATAAAAGTCAGCTCCTGATTGTTTTATCTTTACATAAACCCAGTCATCTTGGTTAAACTCGCTGGTCCGGCCAGTACAGTGAAAAAGCTACAACTTGCCTGTTGTTTTTCTTGGATAACGTACGCCACTCCACGACAGTCAGCAGACCCATAAGTTATAACGTAGTTTCAACGACAACGTTTCGTGCTAGTAAATTGACAACAACTTGTCTACACATCTCCTGAACAGGAAATACAACGGAGCATCGTTCGTAGCTGTTACCTTGACACTACGCAACACAGCTTGTGTGTCCTAGGCAGCAAACCAACAACGTTGAACAAACATTGCCTACAGTTAGTTGATTTACATCATGGATCCCAGCCACGCGGAACAGCAAGACGAGATTCAAAACCCAGAGGGAGACGTCTCTAAAGAACAAATAGAGAATACGTCTACTACAACACCTTTAGATGAAGATGCTGAGACTAGGCGAGTACGTGAACTCACAGAAAAGGGACAAGGAGTTTTTACAGAAAAACGTGACAAGTTCTATCATGACTTAGAGGCCCTATGGTCAGACCTAGAATCTCAGTTATTGGAAACGACCACGCCTCCTAACGACCTCCAACAATTGCTAACAGCACAAGATAGAATTGTACAAGCCTGTACTAATTATCGGAGGCTCACAGACGAGTACTTGAAATTTCTTAAAAATACAAGAACGTTAGACAGCCTTCAAGACATTGATACGTGTAAACTTTCAACAGATATCCGAATGTCTAAAGTTGACCTAGCAATTGAAACCTTACACGAGCATCGCCTCACCCTGACAAAGGCTAAATCTACAAAAACCAAGACATCTAAGGGCAAGAAAACCTCGCACAGTGGGAGCTCCAACGTCTCTAACATGTCAAGTCTTGCACAGAGGAAGCGTGCCAAAGCAGAGGCTGCTAGATCTCAGATAGCCTTTGCTGAAAAACAGGCCTTGCTACTAAAGCAGGAGGCAATGATAGAAGAACAGGCTCTTTTCAAGCAAAATGAAATAAAGGCTGAAGCGTGAGGCCGTACGCAGGAAAACTATAATGGAACAAGAGGCTGCACGTGCAATACGAGAAAAAGCCGAAATTAAGGCTGCTATGAACATTCTAGAAGCACAAAGAGAAGCCGCAACCGCAGAAGCCGAGGCTCGTATCCTTGAACACGACGGCAGCCAAGCATTTAGCGATCTCCCTGGCGAAACGGAAGACCCTCTTCAGCGTGTGCAAGATTTCGTCAATAAACATCCTGTACCAACTGCTGTACAGGAAGTAACAGGACCTCAAAAGTTAAAACAAATTCCTGTTAAGATTGAGCTGAGTCATGAAGCACCAGCGTTCGTGCCATCTGTGGCACTGAACTTGCCATCACAAACACCTGAGGTCTTGCCTACACATGCTAAGTCACCAGAAGTTAATGTATTCCCAGATCTGGGAACAATAACTGGCATAGGAAAACAGGGCGTTTCAGAAAAGATCCCTGTCTTACAACAAAAACAAGGCATTATTGAAGAGATCCCTGTCTTACAACAAAAACAAGGCGTTATAGAAGAGATCCCTGTCTTACAACAAAAACAAGGCGTTATAGAAGAGATCCCTGTTTCACACCAAAAACAAGGCGTAATAGAAGAGAACCCTGTTGCATACCAGCAACAAATCAATCCTACGTCGGAGATAACCAGATTTCTCCTACGCAAGGACCTATTGTTCTCCCGGCTAACAAGCTTTAACGACCGGGCAGAATCCTTCCATACATGGAAAGCCAGCTTTAAAAACGTCATAGACGAATTACAAGTTTCGGACTCGGAACAGATAGACCTACTTATTAAATGGCTTGGACCAGAGTCTGCCAAACATGCCATGAGTATAAGGGCATCAAATGCCAACAACCCAACAAGAGGCCTACAGAGACTATGGGAGAGACTTGACGACCGATATGGTGCTCCAGAAATGTTGGAGGCGTCTCTCGTTAACAAACTCGTCAACTTCCCAACACTGACGAATAAGGACAACTTACTCCTTTACGATTTGTCTGATATTATCTCAGAAATAGAATATCACAAGGAAAATCCCAAGCTGGGATGTTTGCTTGCGTATTTCGACTCTTCATCCGGGATAAATCCTATAGTGGAAAAAACTGCCATACGGACTCCAAGAAAAGTGGATAACAAGGGCTTCAAGATACAAGTCTAAATATGAAGTTGCATTTCCACCTTTCACAGAATTCTCTGCCTTCATCAGGGAAATTAGCAAAATAAAGAACGATCCTGGGTTCATTTTTGGGTCAAGAGTCACACCAAGTACAAAAGGTGCTGCGCCAAAGTTCACACCTCAAACATATTCTAAAGTCAATGTTCATAAGAAAGCAGTTGAACAGCAACCTGGAGACAGCAGTGAACAACAAAGTCTTTGCATTTTGCATAATACAAAGCATACCTTAAACGAATGCCGAGCGTTCCGTGCCAAATCAATCGAGGAACGCAAGGAACTGTTGAGGCAAAACAATCTTTGTTACAAATGCTGTGATTCGACTATGCACAGAAGTCGTGATTGCAAGGCAAGTATCAGTTGCAATGAATGCGGAAGTAAACAACACACCACCGCATTACACACAAATCGAGTGTACCAACCCAAAGGTGCACCGCCTTCACCGCCTAGATCAGTCGACGGCGGGGAGCTAATTGATACAGCCTACGGCGGGGAGCAACTTGAGTAAGCTGAAACATAGCTAACCTCTGTTAGTTCAACTTGCACAGATATCTGTAAAGATGGCAACAGTAGTAAATCGTGTGCCAAGATACTCCCTGTGAATGTCTTTCACAAAAATAATCAGGACAAAGTAATTTGCATGTATGCAATTATTGACGACCAAAGAAACCGGTCTCTCGCCGCTCCTGAATTCTTCAGCCTATTCAACGTACAGGAAGAAACAAAAGACTATATGTTATCCACATGCTCCGGCAGCAAGGTTACTTCCGGAAAACGAGGAAACGGCTTTGTCGTAAAGTCTGTACAAGACAATACTAGATTCAATCTGCCTGAACTGATTGAATGCGATAACATTCCCAATAATCGGAACGAAATTGCTACAACTGAGGATATATTGCAATATCAACACTTGCAAGAACTACAAAAAAATATTCTCCCGATTGATGGAAAATGCAAAATCCTATTGCTCATTGGAAGAGACCTAATAGAGGCACATCACGTCCTTGATCAACGTCTAGGACCACCAAAGGCTCCATTTGCGCAAAAGTTAAACCTGGGTTGGATTATCGTTGGTGAAATACGCTCCGATAAGCAACATGTTCACCTTGAACTCACTACAAAGGAAACAAATCCAACTTGCAGTGTTGTGAAACCACATACAAAGAAATTACCTGAGTGTAATAAAACCAACACCCAGTCAAATGGAATTCGACCTGATTCGTTTAAACAATATTCCCGTTTACATTGGCAACCAAAAACGAAATCAGCGACTTCGATCGTCAAATTTGCAGAAGACGAAAAGTTCATTTCGGAAGCAACATCACCAAAGTGAATGCCGACAAAGAAAAGTACATCCGAAAACATTCAATTCCCAAGGAAAGCTTCAATTTGCCTTTGGATACGCAAGGACAAGAGGAAAGTAGAATAGACAATTCGGACTTAAGTCACAGAGAAAAGGAACATGGCACCGGCTGGTCTACTGTATGCCGTAAATGTAAAGGAAAGCGTCCGTTTTGCAAGACGTCCCTGTTGGATCGCATATCTGTGTCGAAAGGAGATTCATCCATCAGAACTACAGCAATGGAATTGGATCTTAGATCGCCGCGATCTCGTCGGAAACACCACCTTATCTAGGAAAGAAGCTGTGAAATACCCAGCCTCCCGTTGGATTACTTAATTCTAAGTTCATATAAGTGGAACTTTGGACTGCTGTTATATATTTAACATTTTATTTGTTTTAATAATGGAATAGTGATGTCATATAGACCTCAGACGGGGAGTGTTCTGGAACTCATTCATCATTTGTTCTTCATGTGATCATCATTTTATATTGTTTATGTTTCATTGCGTACATCACTTTATATGCTCCAGTTTTAGGAGTTTTATACAGGACAGTGTAGGAACCCATGTTACTTTCCCCTCTCTTCTGAGTGACGAAAACTGCTCAGCAGGCCGTGTGCACAACTGCAAGGAACATTCAGCGGACACGTTGTCCAAAGGAACAATTCGTGGCTAACCACAGCGTGAGTTACCTTCAAAACATTACAAATTATGTCTTTACATCAGCGATGAACTGTTTTAATATGTTTTCCTATGTTATAAAGAAACTATGAACATTTAACCGTTCAAACTGTTCGTATCTGCGATTACACAATTTAATTCAGACAGAACCCGACGTGTGCAAGAATATTCATCTATTTATTATTATAAAGAACATTAACAGCTTTATAAATCTACGAACTGTTTATCCGTATTTTTAATGGACTTTAATTATCATTGAACACATTGTAAAATTGTATTTATATTTGTATTTTTAGTTTTTCACCATTTGGATTGGTAGTGAAATAAAAGTCAGCTCCTGATTGTTTTATCTTTACATAAACCCAGTCATCTTGGTTAAACTCGCTGGTCCGGCCAGTACATCCGTCGTCGTCTTCGTCATAAACTATTTCAAGAATCTTCTCCTCTGAAAATACCTTTAAACTTAAACTGAATGTTCCTTATAGTATCTTAGTTTATAAATTGTATCCAAAGTTTTGATCCATCAACAAACATGGCCACCATGGCTAAAAATAGAACATAGGGGTCAAATGCATTTTTTGTCTCATTTCTCAAAAACTACAGCAGTAAGAGCAGAAGTGAAAGGGAGCTAAAGTAATAAATGGGTCATAATCTATCTGTTATGAAATTTTCAGACAAGTTCGACAACCCATTGTTGGTTACTGTTGGAAACAGTTTATTTTTGTCTCGCCTTGATGGAGTCAAAAAGCAAGACATAGGTATGCTGTTTGCGGCGGCGGCAGCGTCAACAATGTATTAGTTTGTTATTAGGTCTAGTTTATGGTGAATGATATTTGGTATGCAGTTGTATAAGCATTGGCATATCTCCTTGCCATGGAGATTATTTGGCTCCGCCCCCTTTCATGGACTATTGATTTTGAAAATTTTTGCTTAGTTTACATGTATTAGTTTGTGATTAGGTCAGTTCAAGGGGAACTATTTGTGGTAGGCCAATGTTAATTGGTATTCAGTTGTATAAGCATTAGCACATCTCAATTCCATGGAGAATATTTGGCCCCGCCCCCTCAGTCATGGTCTATAGACTTTGAAACTTTTGCTTAGTTTACATGTATTAGTTTGTGCTTAGATCAGTTTAAGATGAACTGCTTATGTTTAGTCAATGATATTTGGTCTGCAAATTTATTGGCATTTGCAAGTATGGTTTCCATGGAGTTATATAGCCCAAACCCCCTCATCATGGTTCATTGACTTTGAAACTTTTACATAGTTTACAAGTTAATGTTTGTGTTTAGGTTTGTTTAAAGGGAACGACTTTGGTATTTGGTATGCAGTTTTATTAGCATTGGCATATCTCATTTCCATGGAGATTGTTTAGCCATGTACCTTCAGTTATGGTTCATCGACTTTGAAAATTTACATAACTTACATGTAAAAGTATTGCTGTTTTAATTTCAACATTTGCATTATCCGAGACATATCTCTGTGATAACAGTTTATTATTAAATTTTACTATTTTTGGTTATTTTCTTTAATATTATAATAGATAGAAAGGTATATATAATATATAAATGGAAATAAATATTCAGCTAAGTAAGATCTACAAATAAGTCAACATGATCAAAATAGTCAGTTGACCCCTTAAAAAGTTATTGTCCTTAAAACATTTTTTTTTTATACATTTTTTGTGAAAGTCTAATTACTTTTTAAAAAATCTTCTTCTCTGAAACTACTTGGCTAAATACTTAAAAACTTTGATTGAATGTTCCTTATGGTATCTAGTTTATAGATTGTATTCGGGGATTTGATCCATTAAAAAACAAAGCGTCAGTTTCTAAAAAAAGAACATATGGGTCAAATGATTTTTTTTGGCTTTCATCTCAAAAGCTAAAGCAGTAAGAGCAAAACTGACATAGGTGAAAGTGTTAAACAGGTTTAGATCTACCTGTCAAGTTATCTTCAGACCAATAGGACAACTTATCGTTGGGTTATTGTCCAGAGAGAAAGTGTAAATGACAAAATTGTTCAGTAAATTAAGATCTAGAAACAAGTCAAATGCCTGAAACTGAAATTACAGGTGAGCGATATCAGGCTCTCGTGAGCCTCTTGTTTTTTGTTATCCTAGTACTATTTTAAATTAATTATGATGATCTTTTGTTGTTGAAATGTTGAGAATAACTGACCAACTTTGTATTCCAGGTGAGCATCACGTTTCAATAGAGTTACTTGATTGGTAGTAATCAGAGCTTATTTAAGGTGAGAATTTATTCATCAACATACAACTTAAGTGTTAGTCTTTGTAAGAATCCAGCAATTTAGAAGAATTTCAAAACAGGGTCGAAAAAACCCACAGACCTAACCATCCTATTTTGAAGTTACCCTCATCCTGAGTTAGAAATGGCAGGTCTTTCCGGTAATTCTAGAAATATCTAGATCACTTTTTGTTAGAATGGTAGCAAATTACAGAGTTATCTCCCCTTAATTGTTGTTTTCTTGTGCATTTCAACCAAATCATATCTTGAATTACCAGAACAGGAAAAGGAAACGATTGTTATATTGGTGAACCATGAAACATTCTGAACTTAAATTGATGTAAAGTTGAGCGGGTTTTTGTTTGTCATGTTTTCACCATTGCCTGATACTTAAGCAGATTGGCACTTAAATTTATTTATGTTATCTTGTTGTGAATGTCCCCAGATATCTTTATATGTATCCTAAATATATTTCAATATAAAATGTTGTACCTTTACTTTAGAACTAAATCAGGTATTCAATGATATCTCATTTGATAAATGTACCCTGTCAGCAGGTACTGAATAAGAGATATTCAGGTGAGATAACCTAACATTTTATTGTAAGGATAAACTACTGTTGTCATAAAAAAGATGTATGATAACAGTTTTTCATTCAATCTTGCATTTTTTTTTATTATAAAATAATTTCCTACGTTTCACCTTAGAGAAAACGAGTTTTAGAGTCAATAAAACAACAACCAATCAACAAAAAGGAGTAGGTCCGGTAAGGGCCGATTTTGGCCTTAAAATTCAAGTTCATCTAATGGAAGATTTTGGACACTTTTTAAACACTTAAGTGTCTACCTCAGTCGATTCAATCAGTTTATGTGAAAGATTTGAACTGATTTAGTCATTACAGACGCTCAAATTCAAGCTTAAATATGAAAAATCTATCAAATATGCCATAATATGTCACTTTTCAGATGGTTTTTGACAAAAATGAAAGTGGCCGCATCCGTGTTCATTCTTAACCTTTATATATGTTATGTAATATCATCAAATACAACTTATATTTAAATATTAAGAATGAACACAAATGCGGCCACTTCCATTTCAGACGGAAACCGTCTAAAAATTAACCAAAATGCTAAATTTTCGAAGATTTCAGTAATCTAACATGACTTAATGATGCTAGTACCCGATACATGTGCATTGTATTGTCAAAAACAGCCCAGATTTATGTAACAGAAGTATTCTTCTTTCCAATAAATAGCTAAAAATTTACATTTTAACAATTTTGTAAAACTGCTATATTTTGGGGCCAAAAAGGGGTCTTACTGGGCCTACTCCTTTTATGTTTCATTATGTGAGTATGAAGATGGTCTAGTTTATCAATTTTTCAGAAGCTGCTGAATTTGTTTGATATTTCAAAAGATTGTTCAGATAATTGGGTTCAGCTGTAAAGTCCAGAAAATTTACTTTGGTGTACTGAGTTTTTTTTTATTTTTACAATAGCTGCACAATTTTAATACCAGATATTTTGGAGTTATCAATAAATGCAAGAAGAAAACTATTTTTTTTTACACATACACTGATACTTGTTCAATTTTATTGGAAAATTAGTTATACCCCTTTAGATAATTTTTATATTAAGAATTGACCGTTTAAATTTCATTTTATTTCTTTTACAGCTGAAAGTATTGCTGTTGCTGCCTTGTATGGTAAAATCCTCAGACAATAATCCTCCAAACCATCAGATGAGTTGTAGCTATATCTTGTAATAAAATCTATAAACAGTAGTCTTGTAAGCAGAAGAATGAATTGTTAACAAATTTTGTTTTCATTGCTCACGGTATTGAGTTATCCAAATCATAAAAAAAAAAATTATTTTTACTTGCATTCAATTATTGTATTGTGATTAATGAAAAATAAAACTGTGAAATTATTGTTATTTGAGGGGTCCCAAAGGTATGCCATATTCACAAAGTACCCATAAGACTTACATCAGTTTACATATATGTTTTTAAGTTATGTATGTGTAAGTCTTACAAGTGCTTTTTGAAATGAATTTTGCTGCTTAGAAACTAATTAAGTAGGACTTTGATGGCCAAACGCTAGAGGGTATAAAAAAAGAACCCCATATTAAACAATTTAAGTGCTGAGTTTTTGATGCAATGTAAACTTGGTGAAAGGAAACAAAAATGTTTGGTTATTTGTTGGGTTTCACTCCACTTTCAATACATTTAAACAAATTAATGGCCGTCAGTTTTATTTATTAGTTTTGTCTTTAGTTTAGTTTTCTTTTAGAGAACCACTGAATGGAATGAAACCAAACATGGCATGAATGTTCCTTATGAGGTACTGACCAAGTGTTGTTTCTTTGAAGCTGATCCATTATCCAAGATGGCCGCCAGCGGGGGACTTAGTTTAACATAGGACCCTATGGGAAATACATACAAATGTCTTCTTTTAGAGAACCACTGAATGGAATGAAACCAAACATGGTATGAATGTTCCTTATGAGGTGCTGACCTAGTGTTGGTACTTTGAAGCCGATCCATAATCCAAGATGGCCGCCAGCGAGGGACTTAGTTTAACATGGGACCCTACGGGAAATACATACAAATGTCTTCTTTTAGAGAACCACTGAATGCAATGAAACCAAACATGGCATGAATGTTCCTTATGAGGTGCTGACCAAGTGTTGTTACTATGAAGCCGATCCATAATCCAAGATGGCAGCCAGCAGGGGACTTAGTTTAACATGGGACCCTATGGGAAATACATACAAATGTCTTCTTTTAGAGAACCACTGAATGGAATGAAACCAAACATGGCATGAATGTTCCTTATGAGGTGCTGACCGAGTGTTGTTACTTTGAAGCCGATCCATAATCCAAGATGGCCGCCAGCGGGGGACTTAGTTTAACATGGGACCCTAATTGGAAATACATACAAACGTCTTCTTTTAGAGAACCACTGAATGGAATGAAACCAAACATGGCATGAATGTTCCTTATGAGGTGCTGACCAAGTGTTGTTACTTTGAAGCTGATCCATCATCCAAGATGGCCGCCAGCGGGAGACTTAGTTTAACATAGGAGCCTATGG